ATGGCCTCAAGTTGCGCCAGGGGAGGTTTAGATTGGATATTAGGAAAAATTTCTTCACTGAGTGGTCAAGCATTGGAACAGGCTGCCCAGGGAGGTGGTGGAGTCACCATCTCTGGAAGTGTTCAAGAAACGTGTGGATGTGGCGCTTCAGGACATGGTTTAGGGGACATGGTGGCGCTGGATTAATGGTCGGACTTGATGATCTTGAAGGTCCTTTCCAACCTTAGTGATTCTGTGATTCTGTGATTCTGTGATTGTTCTGGAGTGTTGAGATTAAGCACAGCTGATGTCACCGAGTTGGGCAGTGGTGCCTCCCAGCAGATAAAAAGCCATCACACTGAGTGGGTAATAGTTGTAACACAGAAATTGTGTGTGTTTGTATTTGTAGTTCTATATATGTCTGTGTAGGCACGTGTGGGTAGATATATAGATATAGAACAGTAGGTTTTGAACAGTACTGACTCGAGCAAGGCGCATACCTGGCAGGGAGCTCTGCACAATTAAAACTGACCACGTTTTTAAACCCAGCAGGCACTTTCACAAAGAGAACATGAGGCACTTGCTGTGCAGCCTTTTCCTCATGTGAATAATCTCGCTGACGTCAGTGGGTTTTTTCGCTCACACGTGAAGGTGTTTTCAGGCTAAGTCACGTCTACTTTGGAGAGTCTCACAATAGCTTATTCTAAGATCAAGACTTGGCTCTTCGTTGTGGCGGTGAAGGTTGCAAGCCTATATTACTACTTTCTTTCCAGTCCAGGTTTGCAGAGTCATGAAGGTGTAAAGAATGATATTACTCAAGGTTTGATTTACAGCATTTCCAAAGACAAGTAATAAGGGTTCCAGGTTTTTCCATGCGAGAAATAAAGTGACTTGATTGTACTGGGAAGTGATGACAGCCATTGCAGACTATCGGTGAGACAGACTAAACCTAGCAAAGCAACGGGTGTGACTGATTTCTGCTCTCACGTAGGCCAGTACGAACTGAAAATGCTCCATGTGACACCCGTGCCATTAATCCCGGTTAATGGAAATAAAATCAGGATATTACTGGATATATTGTGTTTAAAGACAAGATACTGAAATAAGCAGCTGATGCGCATACTTGAGTCCTTTCCTGACTAATAACCATGGAACATACAGGCTGTATGATCTATTTTATACGCATGCGTCCCGATCCTATTGAAAGTCAAATAGACGTCAGGGAGTTCATTCTTAACTCTTCCTGGAGAAATAGGGGAGTATGATAGTTTTATTCTTGTTGTACAGACGCAGAATTGAGGAGTAAAAAACTTGCATGATTTGTTGTAAGGGCAAACAGAAGCCTTTACTAAAGGGGCAAGACCAGAAATAGAAGCCAAATCCCTGCTTTTGCAGCAAATGGAAAGTTAACGGTCTCGGTCCCTCTGCCTTCCAAATCACTGAGCTGGGGGCAGGTGGGAGCATGCCGGCACTGTTGTAATGCTTTAGATCTTGTAAAGATACAGGCTGTGGGTTCTGCGTGCTCAGATTGGCTCATCTGCTACAGTCAGTGTTTCTGTTTTGAAACTTCATTTACCACAGCAGAAACCACACTGGGAGGAGGGAGATTTTTTTAAAAAAAAAAAAAAAAATCGACCAAAAGCCAACTTTTCATGTTACTAGCTTAAAAATATTTTAATGTACCAGACAAATGCATGACTCTTGCTACTTTAAAATGTGCTTGAGGATTATAAATGTTTTTATGCAAGGATGGACAAATGTCAAAAGGTACAGGCAAACAAAAACTATTCAGCAAACCAATGGAAGTAATTTCCCTTGTCTGTGATGAGCTGGCTGCCTCCAGCCAGTTCAATTTGGTGACTATGGATTAGCCTGATAAGCAGTACAGATTTTAAAAACTTCTAAAGAAAAACGGTGTGAACAGTGAGCTCTTACGGACATTTTTAGCTGTCCTGTACCTGATTCAGCAGTACCCCTGCCATATTTATTACTACACAGTGTGAAGCCAGATTTATCAGATAGTATAAGAAGGCCTATTGAAATGGGGCTGGCAGTGACCTTAAGAGATCACCCAGTCTGTCCCACTACCCTTTGGCGGAATCAGATAAATTAGTGTCATTTCTGGCAGATGTTTCTCTAGTCTGCCCTTTGCAACATCTCACAGCCCTCCCAGGTGACCCATCCTCACGTGCTGCTCCTCTTCCCACAAGGGCTTGGTTACTCTTAGTGCCTGCTTTCTTGTTGAAACTGAACTCCGTTCCTTTTCCTTCTTGGTTGTGGTGGACACGGAGGATAGATTATCGTTTCATGTAAAGACTTCCAGCGTTCCCCAGACAAGGTGCATCTCTGATAAGTTTAACTGCCAAGCAAGCAAGAGATCAAGGCTGATGGGCTTGACCACCATCTCCACCGGAGGGAGAGAGTTGCACCCAGTCTGGTCCATCCTACCTAGAGAGGTGAACCACCCCATGGAGGAGTTTATCCTCCTCTGCTCTTTAGGACCACTGCAAAGCAGATGTCTCACTCAGAGCCCAAGTTAGCAGAGACAAATCTCATCATCATCTGCTGCTGTTTAAGGGCTAGAATTTTTTTTAATCTTTCCTCTGGAGGGTTTTGGGCTGTGCAGCATATACTGTATTCTCCTACAGAATGTTTTATTATTAAATCTCTCATTGTTGGACTTTTTAGGTTTTCCTCATTGTTTTTTAATGAGAAGCCTTTTATGCCTTTGATTCCCAGCAATCTAAGAAAATACCTATGTTTGTATTTCCTCCTACGTGGGAATTGCAGCAGAAAGTTTCTTTGTGCCTCAGTCCCACCCTCCCTTTCTACATGGATTGCCTGGTTGCCTTTCTCAGGGCTTGGGCAGGATTCTGTGACTTCTGAATTTTTTTTTTAATTTTTTTTTAATCTCTTATTCACAGTTGTTGATTATGCAGTTGATGGGTTTCCTGAAGTCTCATACACTTTAGTGCTGGGATGTGGTACAAAGAATGAAACTTGGTGCATGGATGATTTCTCATAGTCCATGTAGTGCTGGCTTTGGTTTGTTCTTCTTAGTAGCATGCACATTATTGGTTTAGAACTTTGCTATTTTACTGAACAGATGTTGCAAATTTTTAGTCTGTTTTCTTTGCTCTCTTGGGCAGCTTCATCTTTACATTTGGCTTAGTTTTACCTAAAGCAGTTGTAGGGGACGCTTACTGGGGGGAAACCGAAACCTTTTATTTTCTGGGTTCTGTATCTCCCACTTGGAAGCAAATGTTAGAGTAAGGCAGATTCCTGGAGGTCTCTTTCTGCTGCTTTCACATCCCCTGGCATCCTGAAACTTTTTTATTTCATTATAACTGAGTCTATAGTTTGAGCTCATGCAAGATGACTGTCACTGGGCATTTCTGTATCCAAGTGTTCTAGGAAATGGGACTTTCTACATACTTTTTGTAAATAAGCTTGCCCTAAGGACTATACGTGAGGAAAGTTGTTCTCTGACTAGAAAAAATTTGAAAGCCACTGAACAGTAGCTAACTGCTAGAGATACGAGAGCAACATTAGAAATACCCTCCATAAACAGCTTTATGATCTGAAGATAGAGGCATTACTGGAGTTTGTTTTGAACATAAACGTACAGCTAGAGGCTTGGAAAACCCAGAGTTTCCACTGAGACAGTTTAAAATAATTGGTCTCTACAGAATTGCAAGCAGGTTGTTTTAATAAATGTGTTGAAGAGAAGCTTTTACTGTTTGGCTCAAAGACAGCTGGAAGTCAGCAAGTTAATCAGGAAAATGGTGGTGACTTTGACTTACAAAAGCAACTATATGTTACATATACAGGAGGATGAACACTATTACTCTAGTAATAATGAAATATACTACAAAAAACCCTTAAGGTCTGATTAAGAAAGTAACAAAGGTCAAGGACTGTTAATTCAGACAGGTTCACACTGTTTGTGTCAGTATGCTTTATTTTCCCCGTTCTTTGTCTCTTTTTCTTAAGAACTAGAATTGCATCCCTGGAGGGAGAGCTTAGAGGGTTTTGAAAAGTCCTGAAGAACCACAGATTCACTTTTTTTTTTTTTTTCTTCCCCATTACGCTCTTGTGGCCACTCGCAACAAGAATCTCCTTCCCAGGAGCTGCAGCTTCGGCTCCAGGGCTGGTGTCAGGGTTGCTCCCGTGGGCACAGCTCTCATGGCAGGAGGTGCTGGGGATTGAGTCACAACTTGGAGCTTGGGATTCTGCCCTTGGGCCCATGGGCCTCCGTTTTGCAAGCAATTTAGCAATGTGAGCATCCCCATTAAATTTATTATATTAGGAGTGTGTATTAGGAGGATGTGAAACTGGGTTCTTAAGAGCCCCAGACTTGCTTGTTTATTCATTTCAAAAGCTGGTGCGATGAACAGCAGTTTAGATGGGTGACCTAACAGTGGGTGTTCACTTCTGACTTTCTGGAGAATCAACATGGATGATCAAATGACGCCGGGGCTATTGTGGTCATCCAGTCTGATTCTGCAGTGTGAAACCATACTTCTGTTTGTAAAGCAGTGTTTGCAGTAGACTCCACGTGTCTTTTTAAAAATACCTGGTTTGATTTTTAGAAGTCCACTCAGCTACAACAAGAATTCTACTGAAGCATCAAAAATATTTTTACCATTTCCAGTGTTTAATTGTTCTGATATTCAAATACCTTTACAATTTTAAAAAAGCATGTCTCTTCTAGGCCGAACTTTGCTATCTTTACCTTCCAGTCCCTGGATATTTCCATGCCAATGTCTGTCGTAAATGGCAAAGACATATTTGCCAGAGAAAAAACAGATTCATACAGGTGGAATTTGGGACTGCACTAGCTAGGGATGCCTTTGAAAAGCCAACAACCTTGTGCTTTTAACGATAAGAAAGGCAGTATGTAGAATTTTATGGCTTACTTGAAAATAAGTATCTTTTTTGGTCAACTTGGAATCATATGCATTTGCAGATTCTTAGTCTATGTTGTTCCTTTCTGATTTTCTTTCTCAGGAGCATTGTATTGTTCTTTGCCCAAGCCTAGGAATGTCCATTTTCAATCTATAAACATGAAGAATGTCCTTCACTGGTCAGCACCAGAAGGCACAGGAGATGGAGTACTCTACAAGGTGAAGTATTCAGTGTAAGTTGGCTTGTTTATTTTATCCCCCGCTGACTTTTATTTTAGCATTTTAAATAATTTTTAAAATCTTTATGTAAGATGGGGCTGCTAAAAAGTAAAGAAAGGAGAACTAAAATGTGGGTTAGACTTAAGCAATATGGTTTTTAACTTTTAGTTCTGGTATTGCTTACTTCAGATCCAGTTAAAAAAAAATTATAAGGAGACTTTCTTCCTATTAGAGAAGTGTAGGATGCAACGCGGAAGCTTTCAAGGGCATTCC